TTTTTGTATCGTAAAATTCATCTTCATTTGACGAACTACACCCAAACTACAGTCAGTGTAAACACGGTTTGGAGACTATATCTGAACTAAAGGGTACATCGAACTACAGTGTACATCATGCTTAAGAGACACTATCTAATATCCAACAGGAAAAATGACGATTAATTTAATATCCGCCAATTGGTGTTGCTGCTATTTTGTATTTTCAAAATTTATCTTCAAATTCAGAGACATCGAAAACCATATAAAGGACATTGCAAAAGTCATATCTTACGTATCTTAAGAGATGCCCTTTTAGTCTACCAAATTTATGTTTTTTTTGTTAAATTGCCTTATACATGTATTACAAAATTCGGTAGCCCTTTTAAAAGAAATGCCCGGCACCACATGGAAAATACATTTCTTTAATTGTCAAATTCGATTTCCGCACATTTCGCGTACATAACCACGATATAATGGTCGAACATTACGTACATCAGATAAACTATTTTTAAAGCCCAAAACTGTTCAACTAGTCTCTTTTAGTTATCAAGCACCTGTTTTATGGGATAATCTACCATTTAGTTTAAGATGTTGTACATCTCTATATTCTTTTAAAAAACAACTTAAATCACATTTATTTAATGAGGCTTTTAACTGACTCTGTATACAATTGTTAACATGTCCATAATCTTGTTGTTTATTTATGATTACATTGTCACTTTGTAGAGTGCCCCTGAACATGTTTTATGAAAGGGCGCGCTATAAATATGCTGTAATAATAATAATAATAATAATATTACCAAATGTGGTGGCCATTATGAAAGAAACGCCCGGCACCATATAACAAATACTTCTTTTTTTTAATTTGACGTTTGTCAAATTCGATTTTTCGGCACATTTCGCTTTCATAACCACTCTGTGTTTGAGGAATTTAAAAAGAAATCATTTATAATCCAACGAGTAAATAGTAAAACACACTGATTACGAGATATCATTCTCAGAAAATTCCCCGATTTTGGGTATGATTTTGTTTGATATATTTATCACTGAACCAAACTGCATTGGTTTCTTTTGCATTTTTTTTTTAGGGTAAAACGTTATATTATCCCTCAACGTCTAATACTGCAAGAAAAAAACAAATTTTGGTATGTAAACCTGTATGAAGCCATGACGTCATAGCTTTTATGGCGTCATAATTGGGACCCAAAATGGCGCCTGGAAATGAGTTGTCGTAACTTTCCCACAGTCTACTCACTCATGTGCTCATCGTTGTATACCAACTAACGTTGAAAAAATCAATTTACGTCGATTTTGGAACATTTTAAAAGCCGTAGTTCGATTCGGCGCCCAAGAAAAGATATAAATATACACCAAAAACATGGCAATCAATCAAGTTGAAGCGTTTTGGCGTAAAACATCTGTTTAGGCGAGATGACGTGTTTTTGGTGTACATGAGTAAGCAATAATGCTACCTGACTAAAATACCCCCCCCCCCCGCATTCGCATGTAGTCATACATATGAGTCTCAAAATAATATAATATATTGTTAAATTATGCTCTTTTCAACTCCCCCGCCCCCTAAATAACTTTATACCCATGACTGGTGTACCAAGTTAAATCCACATCAAAACCCCATTTGTCGATAAGTGTATTTATAATAATCACTTGAACATCCTTGGAGAATTATATCTATTTAGTGAATATGGCGTCATAATTGGGACCCAAAATGGCGCCTGGAAATGAATTGTCGTAACTTTCCCACAGTCTACTCACTCATGTGCTCATCGTTGTATACCAACTAACGTTGAAAAAATCAATTTACGTCGATTTTGGAACATTTTAAAAGCCGTAGTTCGATTCGGCGCCCAAGAAAAGATATAAATATACACCAAAAACATGGCAATCAATCAAGTTGAAGCGTTTTGGCGTAAAACATCTGTTTAGGTGAGATGACGTGTTTTTGGTGTACATGAGTAAGCAATAATGCTACCTGACTAAAATACCCCCCCCCCCCCGCATTCGCATGTAGTCATATATATGAGTCTCAAAATAATATAATATATTGTTAAATTATGCTCTTTTCAACTCCCCCGCCCCCTAAATAACTTTATACCCATGACTGGTGTACCAAGTTAAATCCACATCAAAACCCCATTTGTCGATAAGTGTATTTATAATAATCACTTGAACATCCTTGGAGAATTATATTTATTTAGTGAATATTAATACCAAAGAAAGAAAACAACTCTAAATTCTGAATATAAAGTCATCAAATTCTTTTACAGATCTTATTGTGGAAACCCAAAAGTTATATTGCCTTTTTAATCACATTTTTGTTTTTAATGTCAAATACCAAACCATCTCTAATATTGTTTCATTATATAGAATGCAGTGTAATCCTAAACACTAAAGATTTGGCCTGAAAACTTGAAATAATATAGAGGGATCATCAATAATTAATAGTAACATTCGATAATTATAAAAATGTATTATTGTAGGATGAAATCAACCTTTATTTTTAAACATTTAGTGAACATTTCGAATGTTAATGCCTCTTTTATATAAAATGGTTTTATTAATTAATCAATTTTTGTTTTACAAATTTTTAATTTTCTCCATTTTGTTTGATTTTTATGCTATATTTATTTTATCTATCTATAATTATTTGCCTGTGCTTTATCTATTAGTTCCCATTTATATACTGTAGAAAATTTTGAATTCCTAATCTGTTAAAGGGACTATTTTTTCTTATAAGTATTTCAATTTAGTGCATTATTAATGTCTTTAGTGCTTGGTTTGGTTGATATTAAATTTAGATATATTTTAAATGTATGTTTTGGGACCATGGGGTAGGGATATTGTGAACATATATATTATATTCTCAGTTCTTTTTAAGGTTAATTGTAAAAAAAAATTAAATAGCTTTTTTTGAGGGGTGGGGGGGGGGTATTGTTATTATTGAACACAATTTTATTAGTATTGAAATTAACTTTGTTGATTAATATTCCAAATGTCTCGGTGCTTTATTTTTCAATTTAAATAGCTACTTTTTATTTAATAATTGGGAATGGGGGGGGTGGGGGTATTTTTTCATTGTATAACACAATTTTATTAGTATTGGAATTAACTTTGTTTATTAACCTTCGCGATGTCTGTATTGGTATTAATTAGGCATTAATTTATTTTTTCATATCATTTATTGAATAAATAATAATTTAACAAACAAAATTATTATGTCATTTATCAATAATTACAGTTTAAACAGAACGAATGGAAGGGGTTGCATTCGAAAGGTTGCTATACTGGATATAAATTGGTAAAATACAACACAAGTTTTTGTTATACACAAGTTTGTACGAAACAACACGAGTTTCAGAAATTTCAACACAAGTTTCAGAAATTTCAACACAAACAAGTTTCAGAAATTTCAACACAAATAATGTGAAGATTTTCACACAAGTTTTGTGTTGTTTCAACATTTAACACAAGTTTTGTGTTGTTTCAACATTTAACACAAGTTTTGTGTTGTTTCAACATTTAACACAAGTTTTGTGTTGTTTCAACATTTAACACAAGATTGTGTTGTTAAATAGAGACACCTAACTTGTGTTGAAAATAACACAAGTTTGTGTTGTTTCAACACAAGTTTTTTTTCAGTGTATATAAGTAGGGATAATAAAACAACCAGACCGTATAATCTGTTGTTATAAGCTGTAGTCGAAATGGGAAGATACCAATGAATCATGATATTAATAAATGATAACAATGAAAATAAGATTATGAAGATTGTGGGGTATGAAGTTAATAAGTGTATGATCTTTATGATTTTTAATGGGGGCATGAAAATAGCAAATGCTATTAATGGGAGGTGACATGAATGTGCCGATTCCGTAACATAAAATAAAGTATGGCGCTGGTCTAGCTATTCGATAAATCTGTGCATGGTGAGCTTAAAATAAAATACTTAGAACACCCTTATTCATGTGATTGGCCCTAATGGTCTTCTCCGTATCTTGTTATTACAAGGGCGACCTTCGGTTGCACGGATTTTCGCACCCGTGGTCGTGACCAGCCATATCATACGATAGAGCACGGTCAGGATGGTCCAGTCCGAACCATAGTCTAGACTAGAAGGTCGCCAAGATAGTTGTTGTGTAATAGCGAGATAGGCATCTTGTAATAACGAGATAACTATCTTGTAATTACATTATAATCAGAATATATTTTTTTTAATTGATGTACCCTAATGGGCTTCCGTAACCCCATCGCATATAATTAGTATAGCATCTAGTTGTCATAATCAATGTACGTTAAAATATAGAAAGTATAAATATATTGTTTTGAGTGAGTTCCATCCTAAACAATATTTAAAGTAGCTAAGTCCGTAACTCAATATCATCCAAAATCTTCGACATTGAAAACACGAATTTTTATGCAATTTAAATCAGCATTGGTGTTGTGATCTTACCTGGAAAAGATGAGCTTCTGATATCCAATATTTAAGACAAAATAAACATTTTACCATTGGTACACGAATCGTGTACCATAATATGTTTCAGCGCCATTTTTAAGAAAGTGCTCAAAGAATGAGGCTAGACATATCCCACAAGTCATGTCAAACGGTGATATCATATTCTTATTTGGAGAGCATGCGCAATAAATAATATCGGTGTTGACTGGAATAACCAGACGCTAGAAACTGACTTGCGGTTGAGACTTCTGGCGTATTTCGCCGAACATAACTGATGACAATTCACAGTAAAACGGACACGATTGAATGTAAAACAGTTTATATAAATTCATATTACATTACTATATGTGTTGCGACTCATTTTTGCCAATTTCTAGGTCCAAAATATTAGCGATTTAGCTCCTTTAAAAGCGGCTAGCTTTCGACAAGGACCGGCGTGCTAGACCATGTCGAAAGCCTTGCTGATGTCACAGAACACGATTCTAACATAATTTCCATCATCAGTTGCCTTTGAAATGAAATAGTTTATGTCCTGTTCACAGTTCGAAGTTGCTATTCACTTATCAACGACAGTCACTATTTATATCGTTATCGTGTAGTTTGACAGGAAACCAGGCGGGCGAACATTGACTTTCTCAGAAATTGTGGTTGTGTGGAACATGCTAGGGTCATGGTGGCTCAATTTGAATAAGAAGAATAGGAATCGCTAAGTAGGGTTGAAAAGCATTGAAAACACGTGAGTATGATCATTTGCTAACTTGTTGAACCTTACTCTAAGCCTCATTTATCAAATACAAAGCTTGAAAACACCGATTCTTACATTGGTATACTTCACAAATAACGTTGGTTTACTGTAAGTAAGATAAATAGCAATTACGAACATTGCTAACATTATTATAATTTAAATAGGAGAGAGAGAGAGAGAGATGGGGTTTAACGTCCACTCGAAACAAACTAGGTCATTTCGGGATGAACATATGGATCAAATTTATTTCCATAATTCGAGCAGTGACCGGAGGGCCCGGGGAATACCCACGAGATTGGACAGGCGACGTACAACCGAGGATTCTTAAATAGTAGAGGTGTGGATTCGATTCCTCGCTAGTACGTGACAAATTGAACCACCTGTTAGTCCCGAAATGGCCTAGTTTGTTTTCAGTGAAGGTTTACCTCTCCCTGTCCTACCTCGTGGGTTTTCTTCGGGTCCTCCGGTTTCATCCCTCGGCTACGCGAAAGCAAATTATTGAACTAAAATCGATGAACCATATGTTGAGAGAGAGAGAAATGGGGTTTAACGTCCAGCCAACACAAATTAGGTCATTTCGGAACTAACACATGGTTCAATTTTATTTCAATAATTCGCTTGTGCGTAGGGGTCTTTAGCAGTGGGAGGAAACCGGAGGATCCGGTGAAAACCCACGAGGTTGAACAGGCGACCCTACTCCTTATCACGTACAACCGGGGATTCGAAACCACGCCAGTTGACTCAATGACAGGCCTTATGATACAGCACGCACGTGCTAACCATTCGGCCATCCAACCCCCAAACAATATGTTAGTCCCGAAATGGCAGTTGCTGTTGACCACTGTTTATGGTTGATCTAGACCTATATTATCAACAACAAAAAAAGTCCGAAATCTGTGTCCATTTAGGTCAAATTAGCCAAATCAAATTTGTTTTTTCTAACAATATTTTTGTCCCCCGCCTTTCGAAGAAAGCAGGGGACTATTAAAATGGGTTCGTCCGTCTGTCTGTCCGTCTGTCTGTCCGTCACACTTTTTGGGACACAATAACTCTCTTCCTAATTGAGCTAGAATGTTCAAACTTGGTGTATGTGTTTATTAGGTCAATGCCTTGATGGAGGTCGAAGATGAGCATTTTCCGCTTAGGGTAAGCAGAGATAAGCAATTTGATTGGTTGATGCTTTGGGACACGATAACTCTCTTCCTAATTGGGCTAGAATGTTCAAACTTAGTGTATGTGTTGATTAGGTCAATGCCTTGATGGAGTTCGAAGATGAGCATTTTCCGCTTAGGGTAAGCAGAGATAAGCAATTTGATTGGTTGATGCTTTGGGACACGATAACTTTTAATTGAGCTAGAATGTTCAAACTTGGTGTATGTGTTTATTAGGTCAATGCCTTGATGGAGCTCGAAGATGAGCATTTTCCGCTTAGGGTAAGCAGAGATAAGCAATTTGATTGGTTGATACTTTGGGGCACGATAACTCTCTTCCTAATTGAGCTAGAATGTTCAAATTTAGTGTATGTGTTGATTAGGTCAATGCCTTGATGAAGTTCGAAGATGAGCATTTTCCGCTTAGGGTAAGCAGAGATAAGCAATTTGATTGGTTGATGCTTTGGGACACGATAACTTTAGTTCTAATTAAGTGAGATTGATGAAACTTGGTGTATAGTTTCATTACAGTAATACCTTGACTAAGTTTGATAATGAGCATTTTCTGCTCAGGGTAAGCAGAGCGATACGCAATTTGATTGGTCGAGACTTTGGAAATCAATAACTCTCCTACTTTGATTGTCCCCCGCCTAGTTCGAAGATGAGCATTTTCCGCTTAGGGTAAGCAGAGATAAGCAATTTGATTGGTTGATACTTTGGGGCACGATAACTCTCTTCCTAATTGAGCTAGAATGTTCAAACGTGGTGTATGTGTTGATTAGGTCAATGCCTTGATGGAGTTCGAAGATGAGCATTTTCCGCTTAGGGTAAGCAGAGCCGTAAAACGGTGTCGACTGCTAGAAAGACAAAACGTGATTTATCATCACCCAGTTGTGCAAACGAAACGTCTTTATACAAACTTTTCCTTTTTATAAGCTCGTTTATATAGTTTATGCTTTAGTTCTTGAAGAAGCTTTCCAATGTATTACCCCTGTAATTCCTCCTCTTTTATCTGTACAATATTTTCGAAAAAAATGAAACGAAATCCACTTATGTATACATTTAGGTTACATTATAGCCTACATGTCCCGACTCAACTTGCCACATTACATGTCATAATATTATAACCAGGTATTGATAAAAGCATCAATTGAGCAATTCCAATACAATCCAATACAATGAATATAGGCAAGGTAAATAAACAAATAAATGGAAAAAACAAATTGAAAAAGAAACTATTATAAATTAATTAAATATGTAGTATGCAATAATGAATTGACATTTAATGACAGAAAGAAAACAGTGAACTTTGCACAACTTGCAGCAAGATGGAAAATAGACCCGTTGATACAACCAAACTCTAGATCTGTAGGCATAGTGCATGTTTTCCCCTTAATATGCTATAATTATTCCATCAAAAACATTGTATGCTTAGACTATAAGTAAAGATATACTGTTTGATTGTTCAATACTTTGTAAAAGATAATTTGTGATAAATTTATATGTGTCCTCTAATTATTTTCCTATTTCGGCGGGGGACATCAGCCTCACTGTTGGCTTGTTATTCTTGATATCTGAATGGGATTAGGTAACATGCTTAGCCTATGTAAAACGCCTTTCTTTAAAGGCTGCTGATGATCCTGTTATCTTTGTTATGATACATGGCTTGACAAAATGTGATTTAGATCTATAAGATAGTTGAATCACCTGGTAGGAAACTAATTTTAAGAGCTGTTAGTATTGAATTGTCCTTGGAAAAGTTTAAGACATGTTTATATAATATTTACTCAAATATTTCTACAATAATGCTAAGGCGAGATATGAGTTTGTAATTTGGACGCCCTTTTTTGAAAATAGCCATAACATTTGCAAATTTCCATAAATTTGGAACAGTGTGTGTTTCTAGTGAAAATAGAAAAAGTTGGGACAGGGGATTACTAATTTCCTTCACAATATATATTTTAAAATTTGTCAACTAACTTCGTCCAGTCCGGGAGATTTTGGTGTATCTAGGCTATTTATTACGTTCTTTTTTACATAATATAGCTTATTTGCAAATACATACATATAAATATATGCGTAAAATACAAAAGGGATCAGAACAAATTATACAATTTACGAGTCTTCTCCCAGTATAATCTAAAATATTTACAAATATCACCGAAATTTGATTTAATACATAGTTATATACATATATACAGGCTACCTTAGGATAATAAGTCCATGTCGTTACATACTAAATGAGTATTAATAGTGAAAAACCACTGGGAAATTACAATAATAGCTACAAGAGTACATGTGAATCTTTACGTTTCTTTAATATAATTTTGTACGATGAGAAATATCTGGATATTAAACGTTTTAGGAAAAAAAGTAGAACCATCTAAATAAATTTTATGCAACTCGGGTCGTGGTAGATTGCGTATAAAGCCAAGTTTATCAAGTAAGTGATGGCGCTGTAACACGTATTTTGAGCAATCAAAAAAGTAGTGAAACGAGTTTTCAATTTATTGTCGCATGTACAGTATGGATTTGGAACGGTGTTTGATTTATTAAGATCATAATTTAGACCACTACAGGTGTGGCGTATACGATTATGGTAAATGGATAATTTTCTCTTGCCGATGTTCCTTAATTTTGGAGGTTTGACTTTAGTCTTGATATTCGTTTTAAACTCAGATAAAGATAGTGTGGATTTTAAACCTGGACGTAAACTATTGAATTGTTGAATGGCTTTTGGAAAACAAAGTTGATCAGATACATCATTTATATAAATCAAATAAAAAGAAAAAAAAAGTAGAGGATTAAGAATGGAACCTTGCCGAACGCCAGAATTTGTTGACAAAGTATCAGATAAACAATTTTCTAACATAAGAACTTGATTTCTGTTATTTAAGTACATGTAATTAGAAATTAGTACGAGTCTGTCATCTTGGATTTCATAACTGTTCAATTTATGTAATAGTCCTTTACGAAAAACTTTATCGAAAGCTTTGGAAATGTCACAGAAAACTAAACCGGCGTATTCTTTTTTATCTAATGAATTGCAAATATATTGATATATTTCTATAAGTTGATTTACCGTAGATATGCCTGGTAAATAACCCGCTTGGTACTTGTTAAAAAGTTCATTTTTTGAGAAATAACTTAAAAGATTCTGATAAATTAATCGTTCAAAAACTTTAGATATACTATTTAACAGAGAAATCGGTCTATAATTTTTGGGATCCGACCTATATATCACCTTTGTTTACACAAAGGAATAACATTGGCTTGTTTCCATTTACTCGGAAATATATTCTGTTTTATAATAACTTTGAAAAGTAAATAGAGAGGATTACAGATACTAAGTTTTACAGATTTTAATACTTTATTATTAACTGGCCCGGGTTGTTCAGTGTGCTGTATGGAATAATTATTAAGGGCATTAACTTTATCAGTAGGCGTAAACAATGTATCATTTTCAAAAATTGTTGGAGGTATCTCGTTTGAAGATGCAGCCGGTGTCTTGCTATACGCTTTTATTAGATTCCACCATTTTTTGCGCCAAGATTTTCATTTATATCATTAATTTTTGCGTCAATTTTTGAAATTCCAATTTTCACACAATTATCATAATATGATTAGTGATAGCGCTTAGTCACTATTAAGGGGTCATTGAAGATGGCTGCCTGTTGGGGCGGGAAAATTCGAATTTTACATTAGGATCAAGATTGGTGTCAAAATATACGTTTCCGTACATATTATGGTGATTAAGTTGCTCCCCTTTGTTATGAGATATCCAATTAGGGATTTAGACGGGCAGCGGCGTACTAAATGTGAAATCCACAGGCATGAAAA